AACTTTTTTCCGCGTTCCTCCTTTTCTATTTTTTTTTTGTTTTTATATGTAAGATATAAAATTTGGTTCCATGGTGCGTCCAGATAAACTTAATGCTAGCAAGGGCTAGAAAGACAGAAAAGGTGAGATCAATGACATTTAGATACTATTAATAGTTATTTAATGATAAGGCAAGACTTCAATTGGTTCTTATCTCTTTTCAGGAACTCTTTACCAAATAATGCAATGCTTAAGTTTTGACCTTTACTTGGAAGTACTTGGAAGAAAGGAAAACGGATACTTTTCGAAGACGAAATGCTAATATCAATGAAAATTGAATAAGATGACTATTGACCCTTATATAAAAGGTCAATAGTTATAACCTATATAAAAGGAATAAAACTTCTATTGAATTTTTCCTGTGCCCTGGAAGTATTTAGCACACAATGGTAATTTAAGTTTTTTGTATCTTTTTGCAACTCAGATCAATGGAAGGAAGAGTATGGGTTTAGAATATATTCGATTATTTATGAACATTTGTCCATCAATGTCGCTGATCGCAGATGCATGCATCGTCCAATGGATTGAATGCTGGCCAAGGATTCTTTTAAAGTGAATATTGATGATAATTAGCAAATTGTCGACAAGGATGGACAAACTGCTTAGGGACCTATAAAGAAGATTTCCATTGATCTTTTATTACTTCCCGAGCGTTTTTACGATATAATCTTATTTCATCTTAATAGTCTTGACTTTAACACAGGATTGATCGTATGAGTGTAATAATTCTTTAAATACTCAAATATGCAAACTTTGTCAACTGCTTAGAATTATTATAGCTCGACGATCGCAGATTTTGGGTTACTAAATATTTAAAAGTTGGAGCCCGAAGCTTTGATAATTTCCCATATCGCAAAACAAAAACTTTTTTTTTACTTTTGGTTAATAAAAAATGGAACAAAGAACAAAATATTTTTTTTTCTCATTACTTAAGCTATTTTGTATATAATAGGCCGCGTGAACATATCCAGCAGTCTTAAAATTCATCAATGAAAGAATTTTTTTGTTGGAACTAATAAATTGTTGAATATTAAAAACTCGACAAATGAGATTCTACACACATACAATCGATCGCACACCGACCGGACCAGAGATCGCAAGAACGAGAACGTCTTACAGTTGCAGTTCCTTAACGCAAACAGAAATGCTGAGAAAAAAACACTTTTACAATTACCCCGCAAACGCCATGGGCAACCTATTATTTTTTGCAATGCTTTGCGGTACAAGGTACGACGTTCGAGGTACGAGGTACGAGGTGAGCGAGTGAATTAGTGAGTGTGCATAGCGCGCCGCAAGGCCGTTTAACTGTAACCTGTAACTGCGAACTGCGCCACTTAAAACTGTGCCCAAGTTGCTTTCGTTGCTGGTTAATACTCGCTTACGCTTTATCAGTAAGGAGCAGGAAAAGGCACGACAAGACGAGACTAGGGAGGCGCATGGAAAAACTTGCTAACTTCAAATATAATAACTTTGAATGGAGACTTGCAGAGAGTGTTGCCAACTTAAAATAAACTATTTTACCACTACAACATAAAACAGGTGATATAATGAGGAGGCATACAGCTGGTACGTTGTTGATTTTACTGTTCATGTTTTTGTTGTTGGTTTTTCTTGTTGTACAATTATTCGGCATGTCTACTTAATCCTTCACAAAAGGTAAACAATATATTTACACTATAATTTTATATATTTAGTAAATATGCATAAAAAGCTTAATAAAGTCGACTACAAACTTTTGAGTAATTAATAAATTATTATTTATTTATGTTGAGAATAGTTGAGTCAGTGCACTTGAGCACTTTTACTCTCTCTAACTGCGAGATTTTTTCATAACCCATTTCTATGCCTTAACTGGATTATTGTTTATCACTTCATCAGACTAAGCAATAATTGACCTCAGATCTGCATACTTCCCCGGGGAGCCTGTAACCATTCTGAGATGCGATAACGCGGTGTTGATAAGCCTGTCGTTTTTGTAAATAATTTCAGGGCTCTATTCTTTATGTAACATAGGTATATATATAATGTAATAATTTATATATAATTCTAATTAAAAAATCGTGATTATTTGAACCAGCTTTTTGTTTAACTTTGAACAGACCATATAATACAAATGGATGCTAACTGTAGATATAAAGCAATAATGAGCTGAGACAATAAAAATCATATACGAAAAATAATACTGAATATTTGATTGTCAAATTATACTTGCAGATCTCTCAACAGAAAGTAATAGAAGCATATGATCTATAAAATTACAACATACGCTTGGTTGCAATGCTAAGTATGATTAGTGGTTTAGTTCAAAATCTAACACAGATTCATAAAGCAAATAATATTGAATATTTATTATTTTAAATGCTATAAATAACTTCCATGTACCTCAATTAATTTTTTGTCGTTTTGGTACCATTCCTCGCAAGAACCCTAGTATAGAAGAGTAGAGACTATACCTATCCCGCCGAATTTAGATAATTTAATAGATCTTTCGTCTTCACCGCTGAACAGTCTGATAAACTACCAAAAAAGTATCTTCCTAAGAGCCTACATCTAATGAACGCTTAAGCCGGGCATTCACAGAGAACATGTATTATGGTATCTTTTTCCTGCGGGCTTCTACAACTTCTGCAGTTAGGATTATGGGGAATGCGCAGTTTCTCTGCATGGGTTCCTATACACCAATGACCAGAAAGAACTGCAGTAAGCTTTGTAGTGTTCACGCGGTCTCTTTTGATGAGTAAGCCTTAGCAATATTAGAAAAAACAGAAATTTGACGTTAGTGTTTATAGTCTTATACTTTTTGCTTTGCAATATATTTCATTGAGTTACCAATTGGTAGCGAACACCTACGGACCAAGAACCCTCTATAATCACATTAACACTAGTTCATAACATTTTTAAGATCCTGTGAAATAGCGACACAATGTATTCGCTATTGCCTATTCAAATTTCGCAACTGTTGCTGTTTCCGAAGCAAAATAGTTGCATTGCAAGTTGTTGTCATGTTGGTTTAAGGCTTTAAGAGATTCATTTTTTTTTTTTTTTTGATTTTTGTGTAATGGCATTGCTTTTGGTTGCACATCTACAATTTAATGATCGGTATGGTAACGTTTTTTGCTGCTACCACGACTCCACATAGCTGTTGTCTATCCATTAGCAATCCGGTTAAATACGTTAAAAAGTTGAAATGCATTATGGCAACAACAAAAAGTCAGCATTAAAACAACAACTCAGGAAGGGAGCGAATGAAGTGGATTGCATCATTAAAAGGATTCTCTATATGGACATACATACATAAAAATGTATATTACTGGTCTGGTATATTGTAGTTGATGTTGATGTTGTTGTTGTTGTCGTCGTTAGTGTTGTTGTCTATAAATATGCTAAAGTATAGAAGCCGTTGTGTTGTTGTTGCTGTTGTTGTTGTTGTTTCTGTTACTGTAACTGTTGCCTTTATTGTTGATCGATCGCGTACAAATTGGAATTTTTATTTCATTTGTTGTTGTTTTTGTGCCATTTCAATTGAATTTAAGTGGGGAACTGTGCCAATGTGTTACCAGGAAAGGATTTTTTTATTTGCTGCTAAAATAAATATGTCAAGTAAGGCTTAAAAAGGAAATATTAATGTTCTAAGTAAAGAGAGTCTGAGTTAGAAACACTAAGAATTTCGAGAAATACATGTACAGGTATGTACGTATGTATGTACATATGTACTTCAACAATATTCTATAGAAGATTTCAAGAAATTCCATGAATCTGCTATGAGTTAAATCTATTTTCATTACATTTTTAGGAATGTGAAAGGAAGTATATAGAGATGTGAACTTTGACAATATAGCTCATAGTCTAACTTTACCAAAGTCGAAACATTACAACAATTAAGCTTATAGGTAACTGCAGATCGAATACTATTTTAGTTTGGGAATAATAGTAATTTTGACAGTTATTCCTATATCTTTATAGTGATATGTAATTGCCATTGAACTTAAAAGATAATCAACTCTAAATACAAAAATATACAAAATATCAGAAAAATCCGAATAAAATTATGACTACTTAAAAGTGAAGTTATAGTAAAATCAAGGCAGATTAGAAACATTATTGAATAAAGAATTGGTTGGATATGAAAGAAAAAAAAATAAATAATATTTTTTTTTATCTAAAATTTGCCACATCATTCACTAAAGTAATAAAGCCAGATACTGAACATGGATCCAAGTCAAGAAAAAAAAATTAACTTAAGAACATTTAATTAATATAAGGTATAACTTTATTAATATCCATATATCAATATAGTATCAATGTTTTATTACTTTAGTTAATGATGTTATAAATTTTTGTTTTATATCTTTTTAATATATTTATTTGTTTTCTAATAGTGCAAAAAAAATTAAATAAATAATAAAAATTAATAAACAAGTGTACTTTATTTACAATAATTTCGTGAAGTGTATGCCGAGTCTCTCCATACAAATATATATAATATAAAAATAATCACATTATTATTATATAGATAATAACTATCTATATACATATATAGAAATATTAGACTTCTCTAATGGATCATGTGTAATTAGTCACAATAATATATTGAAAAATATTAGTTAAGATATGATATAAACATATACACACATAAATTACCAATTTATTATAATAAACCAATAGATTTTTAAATGTAATTAGGTATTTTTGTACAGTGAAATATATTATATTATAAAAAAAAATTAGAACAATTAGCTTAAAAAATTGTTTAAAAAAAAACATTTGATGTAGAATTATATTATACATATAGTTATATCTTACTTATTTGTTATTGTTTTTATTTTAAAATTCTCAATTAAATATATTTCACTGTACTTTAGCAAAGTATTTACTACATTTTAAGTGATTTTTTATGGGATCGTGATATTTTGAATGTGACAAATAATTAAAAAATATTCAAATTTAATATAGAAACTTACCTTGGGTGGTGGACCGGGAGTTTTTGTAATTTGCGATTTTTCAACGGACGGTGAGGGACGTTTCAGTCTGTTGGAGGCATCTAAAAATGTAAAAAAGAAAATTTTTCATAAGGCTTATTTCATATAAACTTATACAATTATTTAGTAATATCTCTTGCCTCACAAAATACCAATACATAGTACCCAATGGATCTGAAATTGTTTTATATAATCAAGAGATATCACAACAAGTTGTTTCCATTATAATTCGATACGTGTATATGTGAATGACTCTATCACTGGATAGATTTTTGTCTCTAAACTTCATATACTACTCGTAAAACGCAGCAATTACATTACATACAAAGCATATTAATTGATTACCTTTTAGCTCAGTTCCATTTGGTCAGATATTACTTCAAATATCTTAAAGCATACAAACCAACAAAAGTTGTAAAGCAATAGATATGAGAATAAGAAAGTTCGGTAACTTCAAGGGTCTAAGGATAACATCAACAACTAAGAATAATAAAACTTGCACAACAAATTAACAAAACTCCAGAAAAATGTGCGAATATAAAAGTCAAGTACGGCTTTGGGTCAGTTCATTAAGGTGCGCTGACTCTGAGCTTCAAGTTTGGCAGGGCACGAGTTCGATTCCTGGTACTTGCAGTCTCAAACAATTATTTACGAATAATTACAATAATTATTCCCAAGAACACTGATGATGGGTATTTGGCAATACTCGAAACAGCTGTATGATCAGCCAAAAATTCAATTAATTAAGATAATATAAATAAATTTTTGTTGTTGTAATTCACTATTGTTCGAGAAACCTCTTTAAGAATAATATAGAAAGATATATAGTCGAACTATGAAGAAGAGTAGTCATTAGTTCATTAATGTAAATCAGCGGCATACACGCAGTGGCTCAATTTGCTCACTTTACCTAAAGAATAGGAAGGAGTCAATAACCAAAAAAAGCATATAAGAATCCTAGAAGAGCGATACATGGTATAACAGGCTCTGTAATTTATTTTTGTATTGTCATAAATTATTCGAAATTTATACAATTCATTATTCTGATACACTTAATATGAGTGCGTAACAAATTATATGATAAATTATTGTCAGTATGTCTGGGTAAATGACTCTATAGTATATTACGTGCAATGCGATGCTATTCGGCAAACACTAAGAAATCTTACAGATAATGTATCTTTAACTAATTGTTTGTTTTAACAAAATCAAAGTGTTAATATTATTTAAAGATATAATTTAGGTTCTCTTGTTGAAGATGTATTTTGTTTTTTTGATAGATTTTTTACCCAGCGGTGATATGGGTTAATAATTCGGGATGAGGCAATAAAAATATTATTTAATATTAAATAATTTATATATAATTGTGATTCGATTAAAATTAGATACCTTCGTCAGTAGTATAGAAGTTGTTATCAAGTAACCTGTCATAACATCATAACCTTTGCTACAAAATCAATAATCTTTGCAACATGTTGATAGAATGGAGTTTCTGTTTAAATCAGATTATATCAGATCAAAATAAGCAGATTAAAATGAGATACCTTCGTTGTTATCAAGTTACCTGTCATAACATCATATCCTTTGCTATAATATCTATAATCTTTGCAACATGTTGATAGACTGAGGTTTCTGTTTGTAAGAGGTTCAGATTTCTAGTCGTATCTCTAGCCCTAATGTTGGTAAGTTCTCGACGAGAAATATTCTGATTTTAACACTTAAAGCTGAGCATTTTCTATTCAGTTCAGTTCAGTTGTCACACAAATAATCTACTGGAGAGACTATCATCTATTGTCTATCTTTCTATTTAGCTATCTTTCAATCTTTTAAATTATGTATCCAGATATTTATATCTTTTTAATTGTTAGTGACATGGTGTGATCATATTTTTTTATAATTTTGTTTTTCACGAAAACAACAATTGTCGGCTTTTGGTGGATACGTTGGTGCGTTAACTTTTGCACATTTCACTAAGCAAATCTACATATCAGTGTATCTACGTATCTGAATATCTGTATATCTACACGGTTATTAATATGAAATTAGTATCAAAATTACATCCGCTGCTGCATGTTTTAATTCGTGTATTTTATTTGGGGTTCCAGTTGCTGTAAAATTTTTATTTAATTTTGTTTTTTTTTTATAAAAATTTATGTTTTTCATAGCTTTAAGCGCTTTTTGTACTTTTCTGTTATTTATTATTTCAAACACGATTTTATGGGCGTTAATATGAGTTTCTTTTTTTTGATTTTTCTGATTTTTTTGGTTTGTTGTCTGAGTTATTTTGCTTTTTTATGTAATTCATTTGAAATTAATTGCAATAAAACAATTTTTTGATAATAAAAAAAGATTACTAGCCGTTATAGCGCAAAAAATTTCAGTTTTGATGTACTTTTTCTGTTTACACGAGGTTAATTAAGAGTAAAAATGAAAGTGTGTTTGCCTTTGATATTCGCTTTATTTGCAATAAGTAATTAGTAGTTACGTAATTTTAATGTTTATTTATATTTGAATATTTGTTATATATATTTGAATTTTATCTAACAACTTAATAAAATTATTACATTATATTTATTTAACAATTTTCTCAGTGTGAAAGATCAATTCAAACCGAAAACTGAAAACTGATTTTATGTAATCAGCAAATGCAGCGAATCTCATTCATTGTCAGATCATGACAGTAACAAAATGTTAACAATATAAGATACAGATAGTTAGAGTTTTGGATTATCGGCTCAAGTATTTTTCATTGTGTGCTCATTATGAACAAACATTTGATTATCATTACATAACGCTGCACTTTGTTTCTAATAATTTTTCATCGATCTTATGTCAAGTCACTTGAAAACTACTTTTAAAACCACTTAGCATTTAAAATATCATCTATAACGGCTACACATTTGAAGAGTGTACGGCAGGCTGAGATTAACATAATTCCCACTTCAAGTCGAGTTTGAGAGATGCATCATTATTAGCTCCGATGAGACCCATAGAAACATTTTATAAAAAAAAAAATAAAAAAAAATATACTCAAATGCTTAAAGTCATAAATGAGCATCAATAAGCAAGTCAAATTGCACTTGTCATGCACCGACCACGTAACAAACAACCAAAAAGTATCTGGGAAATTAGAAAAACCTATTAAAATTAGAAACGCCAACGTCACAGAAATATAAACAAAATGAATTGCAGATTCATTGATTATGGAAAAAATCAAAAATCATTCTCGAAACCCATTGGAAGGCGCACACACTTCTTCAATTGCAATACTGGAGCCTCACAAGTGGCAATAAAAACTTAAACGCATTATTGCTGCTACATTGCGTGAAATTAAAGATACTTGATAATAAAAATATATTGAACAAAAATTGTTACAATTGTAGTAATATTGAAAGTCACATAAAAAAAAAATATAAAACAAAATAAAATCATACCGAAATATAATTGTTTCTTTTCTCTTTATATATTCTACATATTCAAGCGCAACATGCTGCAGCAACATGTTGCTTCACACTTAAATGCTAGTGTGTTTAACAAAAGCCTGATTATATATGCGGTTTAAGCTGTGAAATTTTTTGTTAAAAACAATGCAAATAATGAAATTCATAACAACAAAAGAATGGTTTCATTTTCGATACTTTGAAATCAATTTCAATCAACGCATCAATAAAAAGAAAGCATTCGTTACACTCAGATTTCAATTGAAAACAAAAACCAATACAAAAGTATCTAATATTATTAAGGTTAACATGAGCTGGTAGCAGCGGGTATGTGCGGGTTAAGTATGGGTTTGATAGGATTACAAATGCAATATTCCATATAACATGATCTACGTTTATTTATAGATAATTTTTTTGTTGTTGAATTTGATATGCGGAGAAGCTCCCGACTTGACCGAGTTTTATTTGTAATCATTAAAGAGTGAAATTAAGAGGTGTTGCAGATCAATTTCAACTTTTGTTGTTGCGTGGAAATGAATGATAGCTACTTTCTTAATGATGTGCAGTTGCAGTCAAGTAGATACTCGTGTAGTAACAATAATAAGAAAAAATGGTTTTGATGATTTGTTTTCTCATATCTGCTTAAATTACTATAAGGTTTAATTAAAAAGTTAGCTTTCTAAAGAGTTTGTATTTATGAGAAAGAAAAATGATTGATTTCATTAAAGATATTCTATTAAGTTTAAGATAATGATAATTGTGAGAATAAAATAAATATTATAATTGGAGATTGATCAAATTTTCATTTTCATTTTGATTTAGTGATAAAATCTTGGTCCACTACTTTCCGTTACTTAAAGCCCACTATCTTCCAAGCGGACGTACATGCTATTGAGGTCTGTGATCAAATCAAAATTACCGAATAATAAAAAGGCACCCATATCGATATGTTTACAGATAATTAATCACACAAATTATAGTACGCTTATATATTCTCTTTGGGAGGCTTGGTGGGTTGCTATGTCATATTGTAACAACTGACAAACAAAAACAGTGTAGTGCCTAGGCACATAGAAATCAATAATATTAGATCTACAAGCAATCTAACACGAACTAGATCAGTTAATCAATTTTATGAATAAAAGTCTTACTGCGAAATGTGTTGATTCAGAACTACGACTCTGCTAGAAAAATCGATTATAAATAAAGCAAATCACTAGTAACACTTCGGGAGACATGACTTCCTTAGTAGAACAGAGCTGAGCTATTTAGCATTTTTTTTTTGATGGGTCACTATAGTCTGTGCCTCTGCAAGGCAGAATGCAGTCTTTTGTTTTGGTTTAAATGTGAAGGAGAATACTAGGCAAAGAGCTCTTATTATCGTCTGATATTAAAAAATCCTAACAGATGACATTTTTAACTAAATTCGAACAGGTCAGTGTTCTGTATTTTTATGGGGTCAGTTTGGAACTTAAAAAGTAGTACCATAGGCCCACTTTTTCACTCTACTGGAGCTAGTACTATGTTTATTTCTGTTACTAAGCAGCGGTAACCAGCTGTAATAAAATAAAACATTAGCCGACTACACCGAAAAGTAAAAACTAATAATGCTAACCAACAGC